AGATTAGCTCTTGTAAGGATAATACTAATTTGATTAATGATGTACATTCATCCCAAACTGCCTGAGAGGAGGAAGTGACAGCACTTCCTGGTTCAACAAATGTATTTGGAAAATAATAATGTTCATATTAACCATTTGTCTTTCTGTGTTCACAGTTTTATTCCTGCGAATAGACATAGAGCAAAACCTCACTGGCAAAGCAACTGATAATGAGAGTAGAAATTCAGTAAAGAGAGATTTATTAGATTAAAATGTATGTATATGTAAGAATATGGCTCAACGCAATATGCAAACATAATTTGTAAATAGGGTTCCAGAACAATCAGAATAGTTTTTGAAACTATAGTGAATCAGAAAAGTAAAGTACATAGTTTAAGATTAAAATAGTGAAAACAATACAGTGAAATAACTGAAGTGTAGTGTAAACAATTAGCATTAGAATAAAAGTATAGAGTAAGAAAAGTGAAATTAGCTTCTACTTTGAGACTCAGCTCGTTTTTGTCTGTGTTTTGAATGATGCTGCTGAGTTCTTGTGTGTCCAATAGTTTTTTTTATTTATTGTTTAATTAGAAAAATCAGCTAAAAGTATGATTACATAATGAGATTTTGGTTTTATTTTTATTTTTTAGGTTTTTTTATTTTTATTTTATTGTTATTGTTATTTTATTTTTTTTTTGTTTGTTTTTATTTTATTTATTTTATTTTATGTCCCCAGTATAGAGGATACAATCCACTGATATTGATTTTGATGGCTATGAATTGAATGCATACATTTTTTTAGTTTTTTTTATTATTATTTTGTTTGTTTTTTTTCTTACAATACAATACAGTACAATATATTCTTGTATAGCCCTAGGTCACAACAGAAGTAATCTCAGAGGACTTAACAAAACCATTGAAATCACCAACACAGATCAGAGAATCAACAGTTAAAACACATGAAAAATATAAAGCACACACAGAAGAAAATGTCCATACATTTCTTCTCACTTTAATGATTGATCGAATTGAGTGATCACATGTGATTATGTGATCAAATGGGGGAGTGTGAGGATTAGATAGCTATTTGGCCTATGTCAGGGGTTAAAGCAAAAAAAAAAGATTTGACTGAAAATTTTCGCATGGAAATTTATCACATGTAAATCACAGTAATATGCAGGACCAAGTTATATTTGTAATTACAATATATTATTGTATAATAGATTGTATATTGAATACCGCTCAAATGAATTCTTCAAAGATATACAGTGTATTTTGATATGAAATATAAGTGGATCAAGCAACGAGTAAACTTTTTGACAGAATATTAGTGAGAGTAGCTTTACTTGAGGCGATATGGAGCGTCAACTCTTTGGCTCTGTCCTCGTCAAAATATCGCAAAAGGACGATAAAATTCTGTCCACATTTGTTTGTGGACACGTCAATATTTAAGAAAAAGGTTTCCCTATCAAGTTTGAGTGCACAGTGCACTTCGATCAACTGCAAATGATTTAAATAAATGTACCAGCGGTAGTGATATTCTGAACGTTATTTTCTGCAATAAAGCCACAGACACGGTCCGCCAGAGCAAGCCTATAGTGTCAGTTGTTGCTGATGCACCAGGTAAAGATGAAGTGTGGGAAAGTGCACAAACAGCTGCCTTGTGCGCAGTTTTGAGCTGGTGGCGAATCAAAACTTTTTTCTCATTACTCCCATATATGCAATTTTTTATGGCAAAGTACGCATAAGCACCGGCCACTTTCATCTTTTCGCACCATGACTCATTGATTGGCTCTTTTACATCACGCTGAGTTTTGCAAGAAGATCGCAAACAAGACAATATCAAAAGCTCACCAAGACATGTTTGTCCCCATTCCCAGTTGCAGCAAAGTCCGTTTTGTACATTCCGTTAAGTAAAATAGCATTGCGTTTGGTAAACGTTAATTACCTTTCGTCTATTACGCGCCCAGCTTTCCAGTCCGGATCTGCTGCTGTTATTGCTCCGTTCGAGATTCAATTTTCCTCCTCTTCTCCTTTTCAAAAGCTCCGTGCAGTTTCCAGAAACTTTCACCTCCGTGTTACCAATGCTAACTTCATCGCGTCTTCATTTGAGCGTGAGCTCAGCTACGTCCCATTGCCTTGATTCATTTGCGGAGCGCTCATGTGGCCACGGCACGAGGCCCACTCGTGATTATATTACTTATTATTTCTATATACATATAAATACAATTATATTCAAATTGAAAAGGTTATATTAGTGCTGTCGCCAGAGATCAGCCATCATATTTGCCCCATTTACTCCATCTACTGTGTGTGGTAGAGGGGGTTTACAGTTGTTAACCAGCTGTAAACCCTAAAGCTTCCAAAAAGCTTTAGGGTCACTACCCAAGAGTTTTTTAGCTATGGACTCAGCTCTCATAGTTTTCTCCTTTTTACAGATTAATCTTATTGCATATTTATACTTTGCATTTGATATCTTTTTATGCTCAAATATTGGCCCTTGTCTTGGTTTGCCAGCCCTAGCCCAGGAGCGAGTAGCAACATGGGCTTCAGTCTGAAACTGAGCCACGTAACTATTCCAACCAGGCCGCGGCTTGCTTCTCCTTTTAGATTTGTAAAATGGCTTGCTAGCTTTCATCAACACTTGGGTAATGTCAGAATACATAGATGAGATCTCAGACTTATGTTTTGAGTTTGTGCAATTATAATCTTTACACATAACCGCCTCTTTAGGCAATGTAATATTGGCCAAAAGTAGATCTGTGTGAGCAGCATAGCAGATTAGGTCTTCTGTAGAGAGAGAACTCCAATCAAGGAATTCATTATTTACAATATTACGCGGCTCCAGAGTGGCAGGTATATGGTTGAATTTGATAGATATTCATATAGGATGTCCATGTCTCCCAAAGCTGCATGAGCATCAGCAGTAGTGATACAGTGATCCAGCCATGAGGTAGTGTGCCAAGCCAAGCCTCACTTATATGAGTAGCTTTGAGCTTTACTCAACAACATTAAATTATTATCTGTACAAAAATGGGCCAAATGCCTAGCAAAGGAAGAAATATTGTATGATAATGAGAGATTGTATTTTGTGGGAATTTTAGTGTCCCTTGTCATCCTGAACTTTTTTTATTCTTAAATCCTTCGGTTTTCTTGACATCATCAAACTCTGCACCTTTCCTTCCCGCTCTGACTCCGCTCTACTGCTGCTCAGGTCAGCAGCGCTGATTGGTCAGAGCGCGGCCGAGCCCCTCTGTGCACGTGCGTGAGAGCCACACACGCGTATGTGGCGCAACGCATCATGGGAGATAATCCACTGCGCGGAACCGGGAGGACCAGACGATGCCCAAATATAGCCGAGTTCTGCTAATCTCCCGGTCCACGTGAGGTCCCATGCGCTACTGAGCACAAGCCATTCATTTGAATAGGGCGCCATCTTGGATCACCGGGGCTTGCTATACTCCTCTCTGTGTCTGTCTGTGTGTGTATGTGTGTGTTTCTGTTTGTCTTTGTGTGTATGTGTGTTTTACCTTTAGGCCCCGGGGCCCTGGCACTACAGGACTGAGTCCTTCCTGACCCTGCACAGACAGAACAATAATAATATGTCTTTTGTTAGCAGTAGCTGTTAGCAGTTGATGTTAGCAGTAGCTGTTAGTAGTAGCTGTTGCTGTTAGCACTAGCTGTAGCTGTTAGCAGTAGCTATAGCTGTTAGCTGCTTGTTGTTGGGGTTACTAAACCTTTTCTCCAATGGGTCCTGGGGTCCCGGCTCGTCCCTGCAGAAATAAACACCATCAGAGGTCAGGAGTGAGGGGAGGAGTCAGAGGGGGCTCAGAGGGAGTAAGGGGCAGGAGTAAAGGTTTAGACCAGGTCTAAGATCTGTTATTTACCGGAATCCCCGCAGATCCAGTTGGTCCTGGAAATCCTCGAGGTCCTGGAAGTCCCTCTTCCCCCTGGAAGAATCCACCAAGAAGACTCAGAGGAGAGCTACAGAGTCATGTGATCTCTCTCATGCTAATGTTAATGCTATGTTATCGCTAACGTGAATGCTAAAGATAAGGTTTACGCTATTACTAAACCTTAAACTTAGGCTATTGCTAAACCAAAAGCTAATGTTAGTTTTAAAACAAATGCTCAAATTAATGCTAAAGCTGCCTGACAGAGGCGTTCCCTTTCAGGCTGGGAGGACCCACACCCACGCCTGTGTTTAAATGTGTCTGTAGCATGGATCTAAAATAATAACTGGATATGGTATTACTAGCTTATAGCTGTCCCACCCACGGGCACAGGGAGCACCCATGGTACTGCAGACTAAATCAATGTAAACTAAAACAGCGACGTCATGAGTTCCGATTGCCACATTATCAATATTTTTTTATCTTATGGTCGGAACTGCTCCGGTTGTTGTGGCCTTTGAGTTTTTTACAGTCCTGCTTCAGTTTTTTTTTACTTTTCACAGCATGGTTTCTTAGTGTGATGAATCCTCAGTACTTCAAGGTTTCTTGATATGTCTTAAATATTTTCATTCCGCCGCGATGCCTCAAACCCCGTCTGAATTTCTTCGGTGCCGTAGAAGGCAGTTGCCTGCACCTCATCATCTGGCCATTTAGCATACATCTTGCTGGTGTTGTTTGCTGTTTCGAGTGGTGTCTGCTAAGCTAATGCTGCTGGATTTTTAAAATTCCGGTTGTTTTGGTGCTTTCTGCTGCCGTGAGAGCCTGTGCTAGCTTTAGCCAATCAGCGCTGGGTTCACCTCAAGCCTCACCAGGAGCTGTTCAGGGCCCAACGGAGTACCTTATGGAGGAGGTACTCCGTTGGTCCATATTAGTTCCTATAAATGGCCATGTGGGGGAGGTTCCTGCAGTGGAGACATGCACCAACGGGGCTGGCCCTGGAAAATGACCCCCAAGCAATAGACAACCCATGGATGTATAATAATAGACAACCACAGGCAAATGTGAAATTAGAAGCACGACTAACCACATTGAAGTACATATGTGTTCAGAAGTGTTTGTCGTACAGACCTGTTCTCCGCTGGGACCTGGGCGTCCTGGAGCGCCCCATATCTCCGGAACCACATCAGAGAAAAAGAACGAGTCGCCCTTAAACAGCACCACCACATGGACAGAGTCAGAACTGCAGCGTGAGGACAGAGAGGACAAAGGAGACAGAGAGGAAACAGAGAGGACAGAGGAGACAGAGAGGAAACAGAGAGGACAGAGGAGACAGAGAGGACAAATGAGACAGAGAGGAGACAGAGAGGACAAATGAGACAGAGAGGAGACAGAGGAGACAGAGAGGAAACAGAGAGGACAGAGGAGACAGAGAGGACACAGAGAGGACAAATGAGACAGAGAGGACAGAGGAGACAGAGAGGAAACAGAGAGGACAAATGAGACAGAGAGGAGACAGAGAGGACAAATGAGACAGAGAGGAGACAGAGGAGACAGAGAGGAAACAGAGAGGACAGAGGAGACAGAGAGGACAAATGAGACAGAGAGAGGAGACAGAGAGGACAGAGGAAACAGAGAGGACAAATGAGACAGAGAGGAGACAGAGGAGACAGAGAGGACAAATGAGACAGAGAGGAGACAGAGGAGACAGAGAGGAAACAGAGAGGACAGAGGAGACAGAGAGGACAAATGAGACAGAGAGAGGAGACAGAGAGGACAGAGGAGACAGAGAGAAAACAGAGAGGACAGAGGAGACACAGAGGACAAAGGAGACAGGGAGAGGAGACAGAGAGGACAGAGGAGACAGAGAGGACAGAGGAGACAGAGAGAACTGATACTTGTACCTGATCTCCTCTCAAGCCCAGGGCTCCCTGAAACAGAAACATACAAAATCAAACGTGGCTATTACTACTGCTACTATTACTGCTACTGCTACTGCTGCTACTGTTACTACTACTACTACTACTACTGCTGCTCGTACCCTCAGTCCTTTGGCCCCTGTTTGTCCGTTGGCTCCTGGAAATCCCTTTGAACCCTAAGAAAAATACAAAATTCAAATCCAGAATTAAGTTTTAAAATGTCCACAGCTCCACAGCTCTGGTCAGTGTTCAAAGCCACCTTGGTCCCGTTGCATCCTGGAAGTCCAGATTCCCCCAGAGGCCCCTCCATTCCCGGGACGCCCTGAAACCAGAAACCATCACTATTTTATGCTTTGGGCCGAGAACTTGTGATAGAAGCAACTGTTTTAGAGCCAGAACTAGAGACATTGGTTTAATTAATACAGAGTTCTATCGGTTTGAGAGATACAGACCCCAGCTTTAATGTTAGGTAACACTGCAGAGTTATTCTTTCACACAGTAGACTATAGATAATCTCCATCCTGTCTTTAGTCAAACATGGGACATCACTCTGGTTTGTGTCAAAATGAAGTCTCACCGGGAATCCAGGAGGTCCAGGAAGTCCAGGTTTCCCCGGAAAACCCTGGAAAAGACAGACCTGGTTTAGACCTAATTTGGTCCTGGTTCAGATCTGGTTCAGTCCTGGTTCAGACCTGGTTTAGACCTGGGTCTGTCCTGGTTCAGTCCTGGTTCAGTCTTGGTTCAGACCTGATTCAGTCCTGGTTCAGTCCTGGTCTAGTCCTGGTCCTCACCCTGGATCCCTTCAGACCTGTGTAGCCTTTCGCCCCCTGCTGGCCCTGAGGAGAACAACATCAGCTTCAAAACAACATAGAAGATCAGACCTCACATTACACCTGTGTTACAGACCTCACATTACACCTGTATTACAGACCTCACATTACACCTGTGTGCAGTTACCTTTTCTCCCGCTGGTCCCTCGTGGCCCTCGCTCCCTGGAAACCCAACCAGACCTGGCAACCCCTGCAGCCCGACAGGCCCCACGTCACCCTGCAGCACAAGGAGGAAACTCAGATAGTTTGAGGGTTTTACTCAAAGTGAAGAAGTCTTAGCTACCACCTTAGCAACCACCTCAGTCTCCGCCTTAACAGAAGCCTTAGCAGAAGCCTTAGCAACCACCCTAGCAACCACCTTGGCAATCGCCTCAGCAACCGCCCAGTCAACTGCCTTGGCAATCGCCTCAGCAACCGCCCAGTCAACTGCCTTGGCAATCGCCTCAGCAACTGCCTTAGCAACCGCCTTAGCAATTGCCTCAGCAACCACCTCAGAAACCCCCTCAACAACCGTCTTTGCAACTTGTCTGCTCCTGTTAGAGCACTAAGCTAACGTCAGAACAAATGCCGATATAAGAAAACTGGCTTTAAAACAGCTCTCCATGGCCTCGCACCAAAGTACATTAGTGACATGTTAGTCCCATATGAACCAGCCCGGACTCTGAGGAGAACAGGAAGTAGCCTTTCGCTGGTGCCCAGAGTCAGATGGGGAGGCAGCGTTTCAGATTTATGCAGCTAAAATCTGGAACAATCTTCCTAATAATATAAGGCTGGCGTCTACTCTGGCAGTTTTCAAATCCAGGTTAAAAAAATATCTGTTTAGCTGTTGATACAACTGAAGGATTTCATATTTACTCTGTTTAATGCACTGTGGCTATTTATCATTTGAATCCTTTGAGCGATTTTAATGTTTTATGGTTTTTAATTACTTGTGATTTTATTCTGTTTTTAATATTTCTTGTGATCTTAGTCTTTGTTTTTATTAGATTTTTTATATATATGTAGATTTTAATGTTTATGATTTGCTTGATGTGATGTGGGTTGTGAGGAACTTTGTTTTCCTGTAGGAAAGGCGCTCTACAAATAAAAGATGATTGATTGAAGGCTATCACACTGGTGATGTCACACTGTGGTGATGTCACACTGTGGTGATGTCACACTGTGGTGATGTCACACTGGTGATGATGTCACACTGGTGATGTCATACTATGTCATAGGGCGACAGTAGCTCAGTTGGTAGAGCATTGGCCTTTGAGCCAGAGGGTCGTGGGTTCACCATTAACTCTCACTGTCTGCTGTCGTTGTGTCCTTGGCAAGACACTTAACCTCTGGAAACACCACCCACAGCGGGGCGACTGCGGCTGTAAAGTAAAGTAAAGTAAAACTGCCGGTGTGTCCTTAGGCAAAACACTTCACCCCCATTGCCTAGAATAAGTCTGGTGCGTGTGCGTGTGCGTGCGTGCGCGTGCGCGTGCGTGTGCGTGTGTGTGTGTGTGTGTGTGTGTGAATGGTTGGTGGTGGTCGGAGGGGCTGATGGCACATACTGGTTGCCTCGCTTCTGTCAGTGTGCCCCAGGGCAGCTGTGGCTACAGTAGTAGTTTATCACCACTGTGTATGGAGTGAAAGAATAATGACATGTAAAGCGTCTTTGAGTGTCCAAAAAAGCGCTGTATAAAACCGATGCATTATTATTATACAGGAGGAACTCACCTTCTGACCTTTGACTCCATCACAGTGACACAGAGAGGAGCCACTGCACACACACATCTGTGTAACACACACACACACAAATACAAACACACGTACACACACACACACACACAAACACACACACAGAAAATATTGTTAATGACTTCATCAAATGAATTCAAATACATACTAATGAACAATACATATTTATGAACATTTTCACAAATGTAAATATGTCAGATTTTAGCCTCAGGCTAATTTCCATCTGCAGACTCCCTGCAGCAACAAGAGTGGAGAACAAAACACAATGCAGAAAACAGTAACGGAAACACATCATCTGTATTGCACCAACACGAGTAATGCACATGCCCTGACTCTCCTAATATCACACTGACCCATATTGCACAATTCTGGAGCACTCTATATTGCACTGACCCGCATTTCACCGACCTGTATTCCACAGCCCATATTACAATGATAATCGTTTCCCTTTTTTGTAATGCACCAACTCCGTCCCACGTCTGTTTTATAATCTGAAATATCAAATAAATATGATCACATGTTTGTGAGTCCCTCGGCCACATTTTGAAATGACTCCTGAAGGCAGACTGGTGCTCTCCCTCTCTGACACTGGAATACTATTCCAGAAGCTCATATGATAATGCCCAAGGGCGTAGGTTTGCGTGGGGACCATGGGGACATGTCCCCACCAATATTTGGTGAGGACTAAAAAGTCCCCACCAAAATGACATGATGTCCCGGGACCCGGACGGTCCGGGACACATGTCTTCTGTTTGTGCATACGTCGCGCCTCCTCCTCGCCTCCAGAGCAACAGCAGCAGCAGCACGTGACCCGTTCCGTTCTCTGCAGTGATTGGCTGTCTTCTTCAGCGCCAAACTGAAGCACTGACCAACTGTTTAATTTTTAAAAGTTAGCCAGCGTGAAGCAAGTTTTTTTTTTTCGTTCCCTGAGCGTTGTAGCACGTGAGTAATCAGAGGAAAGTACTGTAGATCTATTACCATTCAAAGTACTTACGTTATTTCTAATCTGTCAGCGCACTGTTTAATGTTCCGAGGAGCTCACACGGCACAGAGACAGAACAGAACTGGCTCCAATAAAGAAACAGGTTGGTTGAAAGGCTGAAAAAATACTTATTGTGCTCTTACTATCCAAAATGTATAAGTGGGTGTGTTGTGTGAATCAGGATAAACTAGGGATGAAAATATTCCACGGATCCACGATTTACAACCTTTATCTGCTGATAATGTAATTTCTGTGAAATGTGTGACAGCGGGCACTTGCTGTTATTTGCTCTAAGCACATTCAAGAGATGCACTCGAATGTGCACGTCCTGGTGCAGCTGCTGCCGCTTTGTAATGACAGCCGCGGCGCTCAGTGAAAGCACAGCTCTAACATGGTACCGAGCTCGGACCATATGCAGACAGAACCATGTTGCAAGTGCGGGTCTCCCTCGTATCTCCCCCGTTTCTCCCCTGTGTCTCTGACATGTCTCTCCCCTGACTCTTCCCAAAGCGCAACCAGCGCTCCCGAAATTAAAGCTCGGATACGTAAATTTTCCATTGCGTTAACGATGCATGCTGGTTGTGCGCAAAACACACCACAACAGGTCATTTAAGTTTTTACTTTGCATACTTGAGAGCCCTGTGAGTCATTACTTGCCTTTTTGGGTAGAGAGTGGAATAAAAAAAAGAAAATATAGAAAAATCCACACTGTTACTTATTGCCAAACTCTTGTTAACTCATTGTATTGAGAAATACTATGTAACTTTTGACATTGGCCAAGTTATATAAATGATTCTGCAGTTCATGTATATGAATGTCTGTTTTTGATTGTCTATACCTTCTTATATAATTTAGAAAAAATGCCACCTCCACAAATAAGATAAAAGATATCAGGAGCTTTTTTAACAGTTGGAAAGTAAGTAAGAGAAAGCACAAGTAATAGCAAATTATGAATTGTGATGATTAATCTTCTGTTAACATAGATAACTGCTTCTCATTCAGTCTACAGCTGAGTTTAGTATAGAAGGCAACACACTATTGCAAATATAGTGTGTGATTACACAACAAATTCTGGGGGAGAAACTCTGGACCCCGTGTCAATGGGTGTAGACTCAGGTCGTAGTGAATGTCCCCACCAAGATTGGAACCAAACCTACACCATTGATAATGCCAGTTCACATTCACCTTCACTGTGAGTCACTCGAGACGTGGCAGCACTACTAGACTTTTGTTTAATAAAATCACTCACTGTTAGAGCTGCTAGGCCTCCATATCTCCAGAATCACCATAACCTCACACTGTCTGGTCCTCTATCACCATCAGCCGCTCACTAATCACATTTTGAAGGAACACTGTCCCCTGCTGGCACATTAGATCAATGCACTGTCCTAATGTCAGCCTGATTCAAAAGATCATTTCGGTGTTGGTCCAACTTGTGTCAAAAAGACTCAGACTGGAGTGAACTTATTGACTTCACCAATACCTACTTTTCTCTTTTTCTTTTTTCTTTTCTTCCATTATGTATGTGTGAATGTAGGGATTATGTTTAAAAACGCAAAAAAATTGTAAAAAACAAAAAAAGCAAGAGACTGTTAAGTCTAAAGCATTTTATTGTTGTACTTTGTTTTTATTTTGACAGTTTTCTGTGTTTTGGTTTTAGTTCCACTTCATGTCCTGTTCTTCTGTTTGATTGTCTGCCCCTCCCTCATGTGTTTCACCTGTGCTCCTCTCTGTGTCTATGTGTACCTGTGCTCCTCTCTGTGTGTGTATATGTACCTGTGCTCCTTTCTGTGTCTATATGTACCAGTGTCTTTATGTACCTGTGCTCCTTTCTGTGTCTTTATGTACCAGTGTCTTTATGTGCCTGTGCTCCTTTCTGTGTCTTTATGTACCAGTGTCTTTATGTGCCTGTGCTCCTTTCTGTGTCTTTATGTACCAGTGTCTTTATGTACCTGTGCTCCTTTCTGTGTCTGTATGTACCAGTGTCTTTATGTACCTGTGCTCCTTTCTGTGTCTTTATGTACTAGTGTCTTTATGTGCCTGTGCTCCTTTCTGTGTCTTTATGTACTAGTGTCTTTATGTGCCTGTGCTCCTTTCTGTGTCTTTATGTACCTGTGCTCCTTTCTGTGCCTATATGTACCAGTGTCTTTATGTACCTGTGCTCCTTTCTGTGTCTTTATGTACCAGTGTCTTTATGTGCCTGTGCTCCTTTCTGTGTCTTTATGTACCTGTGCTCCTTTCTGTGTCTTTATGTACCAGTGTCTTTATGTACCTGTGCTCCTTTCTGTGTCTGTATGTACCAGTGTCTTTATGTACCTGTGCTCCTTTCTGTGTCTTTATGTACCTGTGCTCCTTTCTATGTTTTTATGTACCTGTGTCTTTATGTACCTGTGCTCCTTCCTGTGCCTATATGTACCTGTATCTCTCTGTCTATTTGTACCTCCACAAGACAGAAACAGATCAACCAAAGTCCAAAGCTCTTCTGCAAAAGGCAAAGGCCAAATGTTGGTGTTAGATTCATGGTCCAGTCTGTGTCCTCAGTCTGTGTCCTCAGTCTGTGTCCTCAGTCTGTGTCCTCCAGTCTGTGTCCTCCAGTCTATGTCCTCAGTCTGTGTCCTCCAGTCTGTGTCCTCCAGTCTGTGTCCTCCAGTCTGTGTCCTCCAGTCTGTGTCCTCCAGTCTGTGTCCTCCAGTCTGTGTACTCCAGTCTGTGTCCTCCAGTCTATGTCCTCAGTCTGTGTCCTCCAGTCTGTGTACTCCAGTCTGTGTCCTCCAGTCTGTGTCCTCCAGTCTGTGTCCTCCAGTCTGTGTCCTCAGTCTGTGTCCTCCAGTCTGTGTCCTCCAGTCTGTGTCCTCCAGTCTGTGTCCTCCAGTCTGTGTCCTCCAGTCTGTGTCCTCCAGTCTGTGTCCTCCAGTCTATGTCCTCAGTCTGTGTCCTCCAGTCTGTGTACTCCAGTCTGTGTCCTCCAGTCTGTGTCCTCCAGTCTGTGTCCTCCAGTCTGTGTCCTCAGTCTATGTCCTCAGTCTGTGTCCTCCAGTCTGTGTCCTCAGTCTATGTCCTCCAGTCTGTGTCCTCCAGTCTGTGTCCTCAGTCTGTGTCCTCCAGTCTGTGTCCTCCAGTCTGTGTCCTCCAGTTTGTGTCCTCCAGTCTGTGTCCTCCAGTCTGTGTCCTCAGTCTATGTCCTCCAGTCTGTGTCCTCAGTCTGTGTACTCCAGTCTGTGTCCTCCAGTCTGTGTCCTCCAGTCTGTGTCCTCCAGTCTGTGTCCTCCAGTCTGTGTCCTCAGTCTGTGTCCTCCAGTCTGTGTCCTCAGTCTGTGTCTTCAGTCTGTGTCCTAAAGTCTGTGTACTCCAGTCTGTGTCCTCAGTCTGTGTCCTCAGTCTGTGTCCTCAGTCTGTGTCCTCCAGTCTGTGTCCTCCAGTCTGTGTCCTCCAGTCTGTGTCCTCCAGTCTGTGTCCTCCAGTCTGTGTCCTCCAGTCTGTGTCCTCCAGTCTGTGTCCTCCAGTCTGTGTACTCCAGTCTGTGTCCTCCAGTCTGTGTCCTCCGGCCTGACTGTCTCAGACACTGCTCTCCTGTTTCTTCTCTTGATCCCTATTGAACCGCTTCAAAAATAATCTTTGGACAAAAAGAAGATAATCAGTTTTATGTTTTAAAAACGGACTCAGTCGTCAACACTTCCGGCCCTGATGCTTTATGCATCAAAGATGTCATGAAAAATGTATAATAATAAAAGTATTTTACAAAGTTTTGACCTACTCTGGACTCTCAAAAAGACAAATGTGTATTGTGGTAAATACACACACACACACACACACACACACACACACACACACACACACACACACACACACACACACACACACACACACACACACACACACACACACACACGCACACGCACACGCACACGCACACATACACGTTTTTGTTACCTGGTGGGTCCCTTTGACAGGGCCGTTCAGAATGGGACCCATAGACATAATCTTTTTTTACCAAGACTTTAAGTAATACAAAACAGTCAATAGAAACCAAACAACTATTTTAAAGGAATTTTATTTTAGATTTTGTTTTCGAATTGCAGTGATTCTATTTTTGACATAGAATTTAATGCCACTCCATGTCCGATGTCTAAGGTCATCTGGTGAGGCATTAATGCAGGCCAGGCAGTGAGACTTCCCAGGGACCTTTCCAGTCTGTATGAAAGGTGTCATGGTCTTCTCCACAGCCTTCACCTCAGATGCAGACCATGGCTTTCTTACACGTTCTAGGGAGAGAAATAAAAATATATTAGCAATATACACTCCCAGGGTGAGGACCAAGCAGCCTGGCTGTAATCCCCCACCTGGTACACTTACCAGAAGGGGCACTGCCACTACCATGGGGTGCATCTGGATGAATGGTTGAAGGTTCTCCGCTTGAAGTTTCTTTTAGCCCGTCCGTTTGTGAGAGGATCTCTACTGCTCTCCCTGTCGCACAGAAAATAAAAATACAAGTGGCCTTTAGGGGAAAAAAATCATACATATTTTAATAATATCAAGAATTACCTTCAGGCTCAATTTGTATCTGGTCGAGGCTCTTTCCTTCGAATTCCGTCACTCTTCCCTGCTCCATGGCCATCAACACTTTGCTGATTTTGGCCAGCTCCAGTGTCCCCTCTGGTAGTCTGTAATATTGCCTGTGGATGCGAATGTCATGGCCGAGGAAGTTGGCAAGTATGTCCATCTCATTCTCTTTCATATTGAGAACTGTAGACATAGTAGCTATGTGCTTTCTAAGTTTGGTTGAGGATAGCATCTCTGGATGCACCGCACCACATTCTTTGGCTACCTGGCGTAGGGAGTCTGATCCCCTGATGTGGGTGTCTGCGCCCGGGCGGGAAAAGAAGTATGGGTTATGGTCAGAGATGGAACAGGCCCTTCTGTTCTCCACCAGCACCTCCATCGAAGCAATCATTTCAGGAGTCAAAAGAACCGGCACTTTCCGACTTCTTTTCCCTTTAATTTCAATGCGTTGAAAATGCTGACACAGCTTTTTCTCAAGTTGGGACAGTCCCAGAGCAATGTCAGAATGGATCCCAGTCTTACTTCTTAAGGTAAAGGCTGTCAGTGGCATCTTTGAAACCTCACCTTCCCTTCTTCGATTGAAAATGATGACCTCACAAAGAGTCAAAACTGCCAGTTTAGACCAATGCTTAGACGTTGGCTCACTTATTAGGGTTTGCACATATTCAGGTCGACATACCTCAATATGTGCATGCATGGCTCTAACGTCCTCAGTCAGAGGGAGCAGGTCCGGAGTGTTCCACTTGGCTTGCCGGAGGGTCTGTAGGGCAGCAGAAGAAACACAGACGTCCCACCTCTTCTCAAAAAGCAGCCGGCTTCGTTGGAGGTTTTTAATAAATAGTTCATCAACACAATGCTCCATTTTTGAGTCACATTCAAGAATATCTGCTAGCTTTCTGAGGCTATGGCCGAGTTTGAGGGCCAAGGATGGAGTCTTGTATTGATTTGTTTCCTCATCATATCCAGCCACAGACCTGACTGCATCAATCACATGGTTAAAGTTGGAAGGAATAAAGAAATCCTTAATTGTTTTCAGTTTCCCTGCGGTTTTTGCTTCGTTAATTAACCTACCGACTTCTCTCATTTTCTGCCTAATGTAATCATGCTTTGTCTTATCATGCCCGTGTTTTAAGTACAGGTGCTCTCCGAGTCTCAGAATCCCCTTTTCTGCTTTGACAACACCCGTGCCTCATCCTGATGCATTGCCGAAATTAAAGACCACAGCTTTTTGCTGATGCCCTCCGGTACAGGCTGGGCTAGGGAGCAGAGGGACTGGACCCTACTTCTACCTGGTTTAGCCTGGGCATCTTTCTGTGAAAGCCGGCACCTGGCCACATGCCTCCACAGCGACTTTCGCTTAAGCAATGCCCCACAGTCTATACAGTGCAAAAACTCACTGGATTTAACTGGGCAATTTGGCTGTTTAGCTGGGACTAAAGTTCCAATGCCGGCCTTTAAAACCTCAAAATTGTGCTCACGGTTTCCACTATTCCTGATCAAATCAAACTGAAGTTTACGTGCTTTAGATTTCACAGGTAGAGCCAATGCTCTGGCTACGTCACTTTCATTTCCATGTTTTCTAGTCAAATGACGGGACATTTTGTGGCAGGACATTGAACAGTAGAGGCAGAAGTGTCTCTTGCTGTATACTCGCCCCCCATTTTTCTTCTTTTGCAGCTGATGATAACAATCTTATTTGCCTTTGGTTCGTCACTTTCCGAGTCTTGAAGAAAAGTGTTTTTGATTTTTCTTTTTCCATACTTTTTTACAGGTTTCTTCTTGACAGTTAAATCGTCAGAATCTGAGTCGACTTCATCAATTAGGGACTCTTGACTAAGCTGCACAAACAACAAATAATTTGTAATCATTCTATATAACAATTTGAAGTCATGACTTGTAGTCAGCACTTACCAGTGGTTTGTAAGCGTGCGCTTCAGTGTGCTCCTCCATGATTTCTTGCAGCCTAATGAACCACACACTTGCACCTTTTTCTAGCCTGACACCTGATTTCCTCTGTTGTGCTGCTCCATGATTGGCTCCAGCCTGCTGGACTGAAATTGCCCCAGTGTGCCCCTCCTTGATATCCCGCAACCCACCACCAGGGTTCCGACACATAACACACTTTTTTCAGGAAAGTAAACCTCCAGGGGTCCTTTCCATATTTTTACAGAGCTGCATAAGGACCGTTAGAAAAGCATTACCCATTGATTATTAAGCTTGGACCAGTGGGGTCCGGTGTTCGGGCCCCACCACGTAAAACCAGTCCCCATGACGTGAGTGGAATCTCAGGTTATGGAACCCACCAGGAGTTGAAAACAAGTGCACACATATTCTCAAAGAATAAGGGTGGGCGCATTTCTCCCCGGGAGAGAGCGCATGAAATTTGTCTTGAAAAAGAGCAATGACAGGTCCCAGAACCAAGGGGAGTCCCTGGAGGTTTTAACCCCGAAAAAAGCCCTTAAATCCGGCTTAAAATAGGGCCATGCGGGTCCCAGAACCGAGGGGATTCTGTGGAGGTTCTATCCCCGAAAAAAGCTTAGAAATCCGGACAGAAATCCGGACATAAATGCAGCACTGGAAAGCCTGAGCCCAGGGGGGTCCTCTGAGGTTTTAACCCCGAAAAAAGCCCTTAAATCCGGCTTAAAATAGGGCCATGCGGGTCCCAGAACCGAGGGGATTCTGTGGAGGTTCTATCCCCGAAAAAAGCTTAGAAATCCGGACATAAATGCAGCACTGGAAAGCCTGAGACCCAGGGGGGGTCCTCGGAGGTTTTAACCCCGAAAAAAGCCCTGAAGTACGGCTTGAAATAGAGCCATCACAGGCCTGGTGCTCCAAGCAAATGTGAAAATAATTCTAAGTGCTGTGGGCAGGATTCGAACCTGCGTGGGAGGACCTCAATGACTCCCCATTCCATCGCCTTTGCCACTCGGCCACAGCGAGCCCAGTACTACAGCATAGACACTTAGGTTTTTTGGCAAAACACTTAGGCTGATTTGTAGGCTGAGGGGTGGGAAAGGCCTGGTTCTCCAGGGGGGCTATGTTCATGTGTGGGGGCTACCAGGACCTCCAGACCGGTTAGGGTTAGGTCTGGGGAGGGCCTGGGTCTCCATGGGGGTTAAGGTTAGGTGTGGGGAAGGCCTGGACCTCCAGGGGGGCTATGTGCAGGCGTGGGGGCGGCCTGGATCTCCTTGGGGGTTAAGGTTAGGTGTGGGGAAGGCCTGGATCTCTATGGGGGTTAAGGTTAGGGTGGGGAAGGCCTGGACCTCCATGGGGGTTAAGGTTAGGTGTGGGGAAGGCCTGGACCTCCAGGGGGGCTATGTGCAGGCGTGGGGGGCGGCCTGGTTCTCTATGGGGGTTATGGTTAGGTGTGGGGAAGGCCTGGATCCCCATGGGGGTTAAGGTTAGGTGTGGGGAAGGCCTGGATCTCCATGGGGGTTAAGGTTAGGTGTGGGGAGGGCCTGGATCTCCGTGGGGGTTAAGGTTAGGTGTGGGGAACGCCTGGATCCCCATGGGGGTTATGGTTAGGTGTGGGGAAGGCCTGGATCTCCATGGGGGTTAAGGTTAGGTGTGGGGAGGGCCTGGATCTCCGTAGGGTTAAGGTTAGGTGTGGGGAGGGCCTGGATCTCCATGGGGGTTAAGGTTAGGTGTGGGGAGGGCCTGGGTCTCCATGGGGGTTAAGGTTAGGTGTGGGGAAGGCCTGGACCTCCAGGGGGGCTATGTGCAGGCGTGGGGGGCGGCCTGGATCTCCATGGGGGTTAAGGTTAGGCGTGGGGGCGGCCTGGATCTCCATGGGGGTTATGGTTAGGTGTGGGGAAGGCCTGGATCCCCATGGGGGTTAAGGTTAGGTGTGGGGAAGGCCTGGATCTCCATGGGGGTTAAGGTTAGGTGTGGGGGAGGGCCTGGATCTCCGTAGGGGTTAAGGTTAGGTGTGGGAAGCTGGATCCCATGGGGTTAAGGTTAGGTGTGGGGAAGGCCTGGATCCCCATGGGGGTTAAGGTTAGGTGTGGGGAGGCCTGGATCTCCATGGGGGTTAGGT